TTTGGAAAATTCTACTACCCCGGCACAAAGAATTAGGGAGACAATAGATTATAAGTAGATTAGCAGAACGCCAGGATATTTAGAACCAAAAGTCATTAGATTTTGTAGGTAATAAGTAGATTAGCAGAAGACCATGATATTTAGAACCAAAAAATCATTTGATCTTGTTGTTAAAAGATGTACTTGCATTAGCAAATGTAAAATGAGTATACTCTATCATGGGATGAACCTAAAATACGTACCCCGGAGATTTTCACGAATTGCCCATTCTTTGCATTTCTAAGCTCAGCATCTGGATAACGAGCAATGAACCCTATAATAGCCTTTCTTCCCCAGCAGGAATTCCAAACAAACAATGCAGCTACAGCACCGAAAAGAACCACAACAACAATGAGAAGAATGGCATTGTGAACTGCTCCAAGAATAAAACCACCAGCAATGAATCCCATCACAAAAAGTAGAACCAGCGACCACAGTATTGTCCTCGGAAAGTTTCTATTGAATGAAAATTCATCATCTTGACTAAGAACGGTCACAGCTTGATTCTGAGTAACAGCAGAACCTTGTAGTTTCATTGATCCCATGGAGTCTAAAGGACCAGACACCTTCCTAGGGGCTCCAGATGAATTCAATGGGCCTGACGAGATGGGACCAGATGTGATGAGGCCAGTTGCAGGGAGAACAGGGAGGAAGGGGCCCAGAATTTTGTCGGCCACTGGGTGTTACTCCACCAGATTGAGGACCAGATACTTTCTTTAAAGGTTCTCCATGTCTATTCAGGGGTCCAGAATTTGACTTTTTTAAGGAACCAGACATGCCTCCAGAGGTTACAGGGCCAGATGTTGTATAGCCAGCCCGAACTGCTGCATTGGCCATGATCGGCCCAGAATGTGAAGCAGCTCCCCCAAAAGACCCAGTTCTTGAAGGTGCATTGTTTATCGGTCCAGATTTCCTAGACTTGGAGCCATCCACAGGGACGTCAAACATTTTTCCCAATTCTCCTGACTTCTTAATATCACCACCTGTATATGGCATAGCAACTGAACTCATTGTCGGAGTCCTTTCCTTGGGCTGCTCTGGACGACCTGATACATAGAGGCCGTTGCTGAGCTGATGAGATGGGAATCTGGAACCCATCCCGCTTTGTTAAGAGATTTCACGAGTTATTGCACCTAAAAACTGCTAGCTGTCCAGTGAAAAGATGTTCAAAGCTCCCCTGAGAGCAACCAAAAGAATTATACATCACAAATATGTTGAAGAGTAGTTCAATAAAGAACCAAATATAAGCTGGTAAAAGATAAACTGACAGAAGGATCTTGGATATATGACATAAAAGAGGAAAGAAATATGACTACATCATCTAGAAAACAAGGATATACAAGTTGATATGTTTTCAAGGAAATCCCTTAGAAAAGGGTGGTCATGAACCACCTGTTCTCCAATCACTGCCAAGGGTAATTTCCAGGTGAGACCATTCTGATGGGAAATCATTACCGCAAGGAATAGAGGTAGAGGTCATGGTCATAAGCGTTTACAGTGAGTCTGGTCTTTTTATTAAAAGAGGCCAAATGAATGATAACACATACCAAAACCTACTCAAGAACACTTTTTGTCCGGGTTAAGTTGCTGGACAATTCAAGGAAAAGACTGGAAATCAAGAAAGGCCTAAAATTTCTGCTGTTATAGACCTCAAAAAGTTGTGAGACACAAAAAGAAAATC